TATTTCTATTGAAAACTTTGATTACTCACCTTCTGAGTAAATCAATAACTAAATGCTTGCCATCGAAACAAGTTGAAGCAATTGATCCTGCTCTTCTGGTACATGTTGACTGCATAGATTAGGTTATACTATTGAGGCGTTGTACATTTGTGCGTTATATGCGTATTTTTATATCTTTCAGTATAACTTGTTTATAGAGTTGTTGTATTTCTTATCATTTGATAAGAGTGATTGTTGAGCCTACTCAATACGGAAGATGAATACAGGGTAATAAATATTCTGGACGTTACTCTCAATGTCTAATGAAGATTGGCCAAATGGAATAGAACTAAAGCGCTTACTTAGCTGAATAAATGGTCGTGTCGGCACAAATATATTCACCATTAGTCGATTTACCTTCTGTGTAAGATTTGAGATGGTTTGTTGAGAAATACGTTTATTCCTGTGCATCGTAAATTAGACAAGCTGTGTAATACTCAGCGCTACTGGAAGAACACAAAATATCAGATCTTGGTTCTATAGTGCTTTATGATATTCGTCATATCATAGTTTTTCATCCCATCAAGCATAGTGATGACTATATATTTATCCTTATTTATTTGAACGAAATGATTTGAAAGGCTATGACGAATGTAAGTGTAATATTTCCTAATATACTATATTCGTCGTGTAATCATTACTACATTATTATGTAACGTTGTCTGAATGTGACAAACCAAAAGCTTTTGATTCATGAACACTTTTGAAATGGAGGAAACCTAATACTTCTTATAACAGATTATTCATGATCCAACATTCTCTAGCATTTATTACACCAGTGTTTTAAAAAATTAAGCCAAATTGTTCAGATATTTTTCAGAGATATGGATCAACAATTAAATAGCAGTTGTATACAAGAAGATAGTGAAAGATTATCAGCATATTCAGTGTAGACAACTTCACAGAAGTCTACATTCTGAAACTGTTCATTTCAACACGAATAACTCAGATCCATACAACAAGACTTTCGAATACACAAAATGAACCAATTCAATTAGCCATATTTTTGACCATATTAATAAATTATCCCTCATATTTATGTAGATATTCCTTCATTGATAATTGACATCTCTTGATCTAATACTACTTAAATGTAGGAATTCTAAAAACGGAATATTTTGGAAGAGACTATTCTCAAGTTTTCTTTTTTATGTCGTTAGCTGTTGATAATTCTTGATAAGAGTTTATTCATTGATGTAACTAGAAAAATGCTTTCTTTTCCAGGTAAAACAAAGTGCTACACAATGGAGGGACGTTGAATTCCCGAAACAGATTGCTCTTCGTTCCATCAAGTATCCTTTGTCGTACGTTAAATGCAATGATGGAAGTGAACATCTCATTATCTTTATGTCTTATTATCTTGGCTGTTTGTTAACTAAAATTAAACAATAATGACTTATCTTAATCAAATACATTCATAATATAATGAACAAATTGTTTATATTTTCAACTTGTCAATGTTTATACCCTCGAATTTGTACCTTAAGAATCTTTCGACCATAACTACGATTGATAGTCATTCATAAATCAAACAGTGAAAGTTGTAAGGTAGCGAATTGAAATTGAATTATTTTGAGGCTAGATTGAGTTGATCCAGTTGGAGGTGTGAAGCATAATCTCTTTGGAACAGATGATTGTTTTGTCATATTCACAATTTGTTCTGAGTAGTTTGAATGATTCAGAAACTGATTGGTTCAGTCATTACATTCCCAATATTTACTAATAGACTTTTGGTGACCTCAAGTAGGACTACGTAGATTACGTCAAATAAATTGGCAAATTAAGGTAACTTTCAAAGTTGAAATCATGAGTCAATTGAAGCATGACCACCATCGAAAACCTGGAAACACTGGACGGCCGTTTCGTCCTATTATGGGACTGCTCAACACTGCGCATCCACGAACCCGCTCTCGCGAGACTCGAACACAGAGCCGAAACCCTTAACCGATAGACCGCTGAGCCTGCATCCAACGGTGTTAATGTCTAACTTCAACTGATCCACGAAGTTGAGCAACCATTCACTGATTGTCTTCAGTGAGTTCCTATCTCACAACAGACGTGGTTAAGGTAACATTATTCACAACACAATATGCAGCTGCATTCAAATTCTCCTGATAAAAATACTTAATTAAAAGTGAAGGAAATATTTAAGTAGTTATTGCGAAGGGGTATCGTGGAGATTGTAGTAGTCTTTACAGTTGAATTCATGATTCGATCTAAGCTAGACCACCACTAAAATCTGGAAGCACGGGACGACTGTTCCATCCTAGTGACCAGTGAACCTATGTTCCTCACGGAACATTGCAGGGTATCCATAGTTACGTAGTAAATAATCAATAAGTTTTTGTTACTCTTTAAGATTCTCATCCAAGCAAAAGCTACGGGTCTGTGGGTCAAAGATTCGACCATGCTTCTCTTTCAGTTTAGTGGGACAAAGCTCATAAACTGTGTATATCGTCACCGCGTGTTCAGCCTATGATAAATGTTTTTTTTCTTATTGACCCGCCAGTTCTCGATAATAGGACATCTATGAAGATGATGTCGAACTTTCTTTCTCACTGTGAAAGAAATTGCCTAGTGAACCCTTATAACTGTTTTCAGTAAGCTCCAAGCTTCGCCATTCTTTTTTGTAATCATCGGTATACCATTCGTATAGAAACAAAAAAATTCAAGTTTGCCTATCATATCTTTCAGGGTCCGTTTTCCAATTGTTCTAGAAAGAAATCAGATAGGATGGGACCCTATGGTGATTGTAGCAACGCCATTGTATTATCTGCAGAGTTCTTTATGAAACAAATGATTTATATTCCTCGAGCTTTTAAATGATTATTATTTTGAAGCCGAGTGTGGGATGCTGATATTCACTCTTCGATTTTGTAGATCAATTAATACAAAATCAACTGTCTCTATAAGAAGCACGTTTGTAAATAAAGGAGATATATCAAGTTATTTCATGAATTAACTGTTCACATTCAAATCACTAATTCTATCGACACATTTAAAACTATCTTTCAATTTGCGCTGTCGGACTCCATTGCGTAATAGCTTCAGAAGTTCAACTAGCCATTTTGCAGTTGTATGTTAAGGTGAGTTGTCCACATCTGGAACTAGTCGGAGATGTTAATCAATTTTATATACCTTTTGTACAGGATTAGCTTAAGATGTAACCAAACCTGTGAGTCCATTCAAGAATACTGTCATATTTCAACCATCGTTCTCCAGCTTAGATAAATAACGGTCTTAAAAATCACTTCTATAGACGATGTAAGTAAACTAAATTATTATGCAAACATTCTGTCATGATAATATCATATTTGTTACTCTGATTATATCCACAAAATCTCATAGTATTTATACACAATTTGATAGGAAATATATCAAGTACAAAATACACTAATCGAATTATAAAACAAATCGTTGATAGGAAACTTGTTGTTTGGTCCACTAAGATGTTACCTGTGTGGTTTCGCCACAGGTTTGAGCTGTACATTTCAGATTGTAGCGTTAAAGACCATATAGTATCTGGTTCTCTTGTGAGGTGGGATCGAGCTGTACTGCTCGAGTTAAGCCAGAGGGTAGTGTCTGGCTCTCTTGTTAAACGGGATTGAGCTGTACTGTTTGGGTTGTCACATAAGAGTCTGGATGGTGTCTGGTTCTCCTGAAAACCAATGCAAAATTACCCTGGCCTACAAGGGTATATTATATAACTGTGAACTGTGTAAAACTTGTTGTCACTACGTACTAACCAATAGACGTTTGAAAAACATCAGATAAACTGAAGTATTTACATATTAGTTACATTTGAGAAAATGAGTGACACATTCAACTGGAAATAAATCCGAATCCATAAACTGATAAAATGTTTTTAATAGATTATAAACCAAGTTATGTACATTTCATTGAAGATTTCAAATACTTATGGTAACATTCACTTAGTATTACTTGTTTAAATCTTCCCACTGATGGTAAGAACTGCAACGGTCAGTCTCTTATTGGCACACATGTATACTGTGTGTAATGCTTCGATATAGCCTTATTTCATAAGCACTGTAAGCAAAGATGGATAGTGGCTAGCAGAGTCACAGAGTGAACATCAAATCTGAGATGCAGGTACATCCAGCTGACTAGTCCCAAATAGGACGAAACGCTCATCAAACTGGATTCCACTGCTAGCCACTATCCATCTTTGCTTACTTATAGTTACAGTTTTCAAACTCTTATTAGATTATTTCATTTTCTATAATCAACAGAAATTTTCTCCTAGGAGGATTATTTCTGAATGAATAGAGATTAATTAATCATAGTCCTAAGCATGAATTGAATGATTTAAACAATAAATACAAACATATGCTCATTAGTGACTGGCTTCAAAAGTTATTTCTTGGAGTTCTAGTGAGAAGCAGTGACCAGTAGTGTTCAACCAGGTCTGTCGTGAGATAGTAACTCACAGAAGACAATGGTGAATGTGTCGCTTAATTTCATGGATTAGTTGAAGTTAGACATTAACACCGTTGGATGCCAGCCGGCTCAGTGATCTAGTGGTTAAGCATTCGCACGCGAGACTAATAAGTCCTGAGTTCGAATCTCGTGAGGAGGGATCGTGGATGCACACTTCTGAGGAGTCCCACAATAGGATGAAACCGCCGTCCAGTGCTTCTAGGTTTTCCATGGTGGGTTACCTTCTATTGACTCATGGTCTCAACTATTAAAATTACAAATTATTACAAACAAAATAACCACATATCAAAGTTGCCAAATAGAAAAGATCGGAATTAAATGAACAATATTTGTTTGATTTTGTTAGTTAACCATCAGTTAATTATAGTTGTTTACTAAGATATAAGTTACAAGGTATAGTTAAATATTGAATATTGACATATTTAATTAATGTATTCAAGAAGCTACTCGTGGAAATTTGTAATGAAAATATAAAGAATGTTACGAAATTGTCATCCATATATTTACTCTTCAGTGCAGCTCATTGTACCTGAAACAAATAAACATTATTACGAATAATATTTAAGGCTACTAGGACTCAGTAGCTAAGTGAATAACGCGTTTGAAGCGAATAGTATCGGGTTCCAGTCTCAGAGGGAACATCAACTCTGAGATGTAGGTACCTCCAGCTGACGAGTTCCGAATAGGACGAAAGGCGCATCCTGGATTCCACTACTAGACACTATCCATCTTTGCTTATAAAGCTTGTTACTTAAGGTAATATCGAGGCAGTACGCATAGGATGCACATATGCCAATAAGAGACTGATCAATTGCAGTCCAAAATAACAATGGGAAGATACAAGTAAACAACAACCAGAAGAAGTAAACTGTTGTTTTGTTTTGTATTGCATTCTTAAGCGGTGAGTATGCATGGCTACAAGAGGTATCAAACCAAGAACCTCTGATAATATATGAAAACACACAGCGTTTAGATTATTTAGCTGGTATCCAATGGTATATATATGTCTAATGTTTATCATTTGATAGTGTTGCTCAATCATCTTCTATTATCTTCAACAAGTAATCGATAGTAAGTGAACGACTTTTTTTATTTAGATTACCTTTTTAGTAACTATAAACTGTATATGTTTCATACCCGACATTTGTGCTGATGATGTCGTTCAGAATGACGATGAAAGCTCCACTACCAAACCATCCAGCTCAGAAAACAAAACTCCATCAAAATCACCCACCTGAGCTACAAATCTTCTCCACCATATATGAATGTAGTTTACGTTTTATGGTCAATGAAATATATTATTTAAAATAAATTACACTCACATGCATTATAACCTTTCCAATCATACCATTTATTGAAACAATGATAAATATACTAGTCGCAATAAGGATGACTATCATTCATTAATACATGTTCATTTGCTTTTAAAGCTTAACTGACATTCACTTTGGCATGATTTCGTAATAAACAATTAACGGCATAGATCATATATGTTTATGACTTCATAATTAAAATAAGATCACTAGCTGGTGATCAATGTCCTGTGAGTCAGGTCCTTCTGGGTACAGATCGAATCCTATCGACCAAGTTAAAACGTAGCCACTAATCTAGATGATTTGACATTGCGTGAACTATGTTCAGATAAGATAGTGGTTGCAGACAGTCAACATGAAACGCAATGTCCTGTCACCTACATTGGTGGCCACATTGCAACTTGGTTGATAGGATCCAATCTACACTCAGAAGGACCTTACATACATGACATTGATTACCCCCTAGTGATCAATAAATTATAAACACATCACAGCCCGGATAGCCCAGTGGTAACGTCTCTGACTATGAAACTGCGTGACATGGGGTTGAATCGGTCAGGAAGCACTAGTTCCCTCAAGATCACAGGTACACCTTCCTGACGAGTGTTAAGTAGCACAAAACCTAGATTCAGAGTTTTGTGTTGACTACCTCCATCCAGCATCTAACTGTGATCTGTTTTTCTAGACAATGATCAACGAACTCTACATAAATTTGTTTTCTAGTCACATGTTCTACGAAATAGAACAGCATTTTTCACAGCTCAACAGTGGGATTTAAACACATCCATAAAAGTGATAGGTTTTAAACCATATACATCATGATAAAAAATCTGTTTAAATATAAAGGAACTGATGATCTCGAAGGATATCAGCGGGTATCATAACAAACTATTTATATTTTTGTGTACTCCAATGTTATCATTCAATTAAGCTATTGATCAGATACCAGTTTATATAAGTCATAATGTTAAAAAGCTTAATCATTCTAATGAGGTATAGAATGATAAAACTTTGATTGAGTGCTATCTTTGTGTTTATTAAAGATCATTTGATTTAGTGTTTGTTTCATACGTATTGGTGTTTACACGTAGGGCTGTGACGAGATATAAGATATACAGTGATGTGAACAGAGAAACAAGAAGCCTTGACAAACTACGGAAGCTATTTTTGGGGATGTTATTTGATTTCATTTAAAGGTTGTATAATAGTAACATCCTCTTTTACCCCTGGTCTATTCTACTGATCATAAGCTTTCGTTTGATGAATGATTCACTGCCATAGCCTTTTCTGTTCCAAAGCTATTGTAATTTAGACGTGACCTTGTACGTTGTGGTCAGCTTAGTCATTTATTTATTCATGTATCTTTTTACACTAATCTGAATTTGGGTATCAGATTGGAATTTGGAATAAAGTGAGCAGTGTTCCAGTCGTCTTGCCTTGTGTTTCGCGCGTGCTTGTCAGTCAATCAGGGATAGAATAGGTTTCTTTTTTCTACTCCATTTCGTATTCACGCATAATAGCCTCAAAGTAAAGCCAGTCAGCCTATTACGTCAAGGTCTTATGCTACATTAGACAAGTTATCTTCGGCACGAAAGTGGGTAGACAGATCAAGGATGTAACATATATAGCATATCTGTAGGATATATATTGCGAAATGATTTCATTCAATTCTTCTTTTATAAGTTCAATTAGATATTTCACATTTTAACTGACAGGAATACTTTTCAGTTGAATGGTGCCTTTCTAAATGAAATACTTCAATAGAGTGAGCATACTCATATTTGTGTATATCATTCTGTCTAAATTAGCTAAATATATTTTCATAAATGAATATCATATGTGCAGTTGTGTTTTGGACTAATTGTGCACGATATTGATTTATAGAAGATCTCTCTCGACTTTTCATTGTTAACATTTAACAAACAAAAACATTTAGATCTTTGATCACAATGGTTATTCTTAGAATATATTTACCTTTTATTAATGCTTTACGTTCTAGATTTTACAGTAAAATATAACAATGTATTTGAATGAATTTGAATTCAGACCATTTAATTGATTATATCTCCATTGATATAAAGAAATGCTTATACTACAGTAAACATCACTGATGAACATGGTGGATCTGATGCAGATGTGAGGGTGAGGATCGGCAAAGCAAGAGCAGCATATTTACAACTGAAGAACATTTGGAACTTCAAATAATTGTCAATTAACACCAAAATCATAATTTTCATTACAAATGTCAAAACAGTTCTACTGTATGGGGCGAAAACTTGAAGAACTACGAAAGCCATCATCCAGAAGATACAGACATTAATTAATAGTTGTTTACGCAATATACTTCAGATCCGTTGGCCAGACACTACCATCAACATTCTACTGTGGGAGAGAACAAATCAGATTCCATCGGAGGAAGAAATCAGGAAGAGGCTCTGGAAGTGGGTAGGACACACCTTGAGGAAATCACCCAACTGCACCACAAGACAGGCCCTCATATGGAATCCTGAAGGTCAAAGGAGAAGAGGAAGACCAAAGAACACATTATGCCGAGAAATAGAGACAGACATGAGAAGAATGAACAAAAATTGTATAGAATTAGAAAAGAAGGTCCAGGACATAGTGGGTTGGAGAATACTGGTTGGCGGCCTATGCTTCATTGGGAGCAACAGGCGTAAGTAAGTAAAGTAAGGTACAATAGACAAGTACACAAGTGGAAACAATCAAATGTGCTTAGGCACAAGATTATGGAATGTCTTAGTAAAATTTGACAATCCTACAATAAACAGTTAATTTGCAAACTATCAATAAATTGTCTCAAAAATGAACGTTCCTTTATGTAAATATCAGTCTATAGTCTCCGATTATTATTGTTCATGCATTTTCATACGAATTGCATTCCATTTACGTTCTTTCGTTATCGATCTACTACTGAAATACATTCTATGCCTGACCATCACCATATATGTTACTTATGTGGATATAAGTAACCTACACCGCAGTACTGTCAATCAGATATACAAGTAGAAAAACAAATTTTAATGGTTTTTATAATACACTGTAAAGATAAGATAATACAACCAAGATTATCCTTCCTACCACTATTTGAATACTTGATTATTACACGATACATAAACTGGATTATATTGTATCTGGTACATGGTTTACGATTAAATACAATGGAACCAAAGCACAGGTTATACAATACTTTATTCAACATAATTACATGCAGTCTATATTCAATGAATCAACAGTAGAAATGAACACTTGAAAGATAATCATGTACTTATTAGTTTTTGTCAGTTCACATTCAACGACTAATCAATCATGCATTCAATAACGTATATCACTATCCAGATGACGAGTCCCAAGTAGGACGAAACGCGTGTCCTGGATTCCACTGCTATCCACTATACATCTTTGCTTATAGTACATCACTATTGTTAACGCAAATAAAAATTATTAAACGTTTCATAATCAAACCTAATTTTCCATCCAGACTTTTCATTAGATGATGATATATAAGGGAAATTAAGTATAAATAAACTTTATTCCTGGGATTTTCAATGTTCTGTTCATCCAATTAGCATGTTCTGATGCTCAGTGTTAACCTAGTTTTATGAGTAGTTACAAAGGCAAAGTGTAGTAGCCATGAAAATATAAATATCTATGAGAAGGGGTTTTGTGGAGATTTTAGTAATTTTATAGAGTTGAAATCACAAGTCAATTGAAGCTAGACCACCATGGAAAACCTGGAAGCACTTGACGGTCGTTTCGTCCTATTAAAGAACTTTTCAGCAGTGCACATCCACGATCCAGCCTCGTGAGATTCGAAGCCAGAACCTACCGGTTTCGCGCCAGAGCACTTAACAGATAGACCACTGAACCGGCATCCGACGGTGTTGATGTGTCACTTCAAACAACAGACCTGGTTGAACTCCATTGGTTACTGCTTCGCACTGCTGAGGAGTCCCACAATAAGACGAAAAGGCCGTTCTAGGGCTTCTAAGTTTTCCATGATGGTCTAGCTTCAATTGACTAATGATCTCAACTCTGTAAAATATAAATCTTTTAAAATATTTTAGTTATACAAAACAAGTTTGCAACACTTACTTTTCCATTCACAAGTATGAAGACCTGAAAGCAATATGAATCAACTTAACTATTGTTTAAGTATGTAACAACTCGACGACTCGATAAAAATAATGTAACCACTTTTGGGAGATATCCCTTAAAAAACTATTAACTGAAAGTCAGCTTGATTCTGAGAATCATTCGGATATAATAGTCAGAACGTGATATTTCCAAGTATAATTATTATACTGGCATGCTTCATTCTGAAAATGCAGCCCATATGAAAGATTACTACAAAGTATTGGCTTTAGATTGTTGAAAACGTTTTGAATGAATGTCTTATTCAGAATACGTAGGGGCAGCTTTCAGTTTCTAGATAATGAATGACAGATGACAGTAAGAAATGTTGAGAGCAGAATACGATTATATTCAAAAGGAACAAATAACTTTGCAGCTTAAAAAAATCCAACGATCTCAGGAAGATCAATCTCAAGTTTCAATGATGGACGCTTTACATCTTATCGTAAAATAAATGTTACTGGTGTGATCAATAGGAATACAAGCGTGGACAATCGAATGTATCTGAACATAAAATTACAGAATATCTCAGCGAAATCTGAGAACCATACAATAAATAATCAAATATGGGTAGTGGCTAGCAGTGGAATCCAGGACGTGCGTTTCGTCCTATTTGGGACTAATCAGCTGGATGTGCCTGCATCTCAGAGTTGGTGTTCATGCAGGGACTCGAACCCAGTACATTTCGCTTCAAACGCTACTTAGCTAGTGAGTCCTGATAGCTACTTGCTTGTGCGATGGGGTGAAGTTGAAATTTACTTAGTATTGAATTCAACTTAGTATTGTTTGTTTGGATCATCCACTCCTAGCCACTATCCATCTTTCCTTTTAATGCTTGTGAATTAAGGCTATTTCGAGGCAATACGCACAGTATGCACATATACCAATTATAGACTGACCAGTTGCAGTCCTAAAAACATCAATGGGCAGATCCAAACAAGTAAGAAAGTAAATTTCATACAATAAATAATTCATCTGCAAAATTTCAGTCTATCATCTCAGACTTCATTGTTCCTTCGTTTCCACAGCAATCACTCTACATTCTCGTTCTATTTTCTTCAATCTTCTTAACATTCTACTGCCAGTCAATTCACTTTTGATTGATGTAGATACTACTTATATCTGTCCACATCAGTAGCACACACCATACTGGATCATTAGAATTCGTAACTGTGTTTTTCTAGTTTATTTAATGTAAATTGACGTGGAGATTTGATTTTTGAAATGCATCATACCATAGCATGTAATTCTTATGATTGTTTCAATTACTCGAATTATCAAGGATTTCTTATATCTGACAGTTAAATAAATATAGATCATAAGGGGTTTTATGGAGATTTCAGTATTTTCATAATTGAAATCATAAGTCAATTGAAGCTAGACCACCATGGAAAACGTAGAAGCACTGGACGGCAGTTTCGTCCTACTATGTGACTTTTCAGTAGTGCGCATCCACGATCCCACACTCGCGAGATTCGAACCTAGGACCTACCACAAAACCCCTTCTGATATATAATCATATGTTTACTAGTGACTGGCTTCAAGGGATGTTTCCTTGGGTTCTCGTGAGAAGCAGTGACCAGTGGAGTTCAACCAAGGTAAATAAATATACCATTAACATTATACTGAAAACGTTTGGTCGAATTCGATAAAATCTATGGTACACAGAAAATAACATAAGGCATTTCTCACCCGGTAATGATGGATTATTAATAATAGTTTCAAAAGGACTTACAAAGTGCCTCTAGGCTGGTATGTTCTAAAAAACGTTTAACAGTTAAACGTAATTTAAACCATGAAAACAAGTTGACAATTTAATTGACATCACAATTAAGTTGGATTAACTGAAGACAAAAAAAAAGACAACAAGTATGGTAAAGAGAAAGTATAGTCTTATTTATGGACATGATAAAATATGCTCTCCTTCTTAAAGGAATAATATTTTATCATGTTTTGATTGAGATCATGAACACCATTGAAAACGTGGAAGCAGTGGACGACCTTTTCGTCCTATTGTGGGACTCCTCAGCAGTACGCATTTAAGATCCCGTGCCGAAGGGACTTCAATCCAGAGCCTTCGGTCCCCCGCGCGAATGCTTGACCTCTAGACCAATAAGTCGGCATCCAACGGTGTTAATGTCTAACCTCAACCAATCCACGTAATTTACGCGACCATCTTCTATTTTACTGAGCTAGATACCTGTCAGTGAAAGGTTATAGAGACAAAGCAGTCGTACAGTGCTTACAGGTTTTCAATGGTGATCCAACATTGATTGAGTTATGATGTCAATAAAAACAAACCTATTTTTGAAACGTCCCAAATATACATAAAGTAGTAGTAAACTCACTGCCATCACAAACTCTGTAACCTGGATATGAATTTAACATTTTTTAAAACATACAAGTTTATCAAAAAGTGTACGTGAAGTTAATCTCAGTAGCTATGCGTTGATATGTAGTGATATTGGTGGTGAAAAAGATTTGTAGATCAGGTGGGTGATTTTGATGGAGTTTCTTTCTCTGGACTGGATGGTTTGGTCGCGAAGGTTTCATCGTCCTTCTGGACGACATCATCAGCTGATGATGAAAGCTCCACGAAAAAAACAACCCAGCTCAGAGAACAAAACCCCATCAAAATAAATGTTATTGGTTCTTAACCACACGATTCTCTAAGCTAAACTTATAATTACTGAGAAGATTAACATTAACCATGTAACACTAAGAGAAGGCCAACAATGGTAAATATGGGAACAATCCATCAAAGTGGCATAGCTTGACCTTGCAGGTATGGTTATTATGTGTACCTTATTACTCATCACATTAAATATATTATTCTACCCCAGACCGAATGTTTTCTTTAGCATTGCTAAACATCATATTGCTGATGATAACGTCAGGACGAGTCAACGTAGACTATGATGTGACCTCCACGTAAGATTTTATAGATTAGGTAGTCACATAATAACGTATCTACAATTTTGGGTACAGGTCTATTATTATTTTAGTAACAAAGGTAAGTGTACTAATATGGGACTAGAATATAATTCTACACCTTAATGACTAATCCTACAGCCATAAGGTTAAACCACAAACAGTGTCAGTCATAGAATCAATAGTAACTGCTCCCTAGCCTAGATGTATTGATTTTAAAATAAACTACAATATTCTCGAGGAATTCTAACAACTAGAGCAACTGATTTCAATCTCCAAATGAAAACATAACAATTAACTTATTCAGATATTTTATTCACTGAAAACTTCATCGTATTATCAGATTTCCATTGTCTTTGGTAGGTAACTGCTACTTATCCGACACAAGTAAACTCCACTGATCATAGCTTCTTACTAGAATTCTGAAAATTACTTCTCGAAGCTAATCGCTAGTGGTCACATAATAGTTTTCAGTATGGGGTTGTGAAGGTTGTTGAAATTCGATGAAATCATGAACGGCTCAATGTTAGACCACATAGATACACCCAGATATACAAACGATGGATTAAGAATTTTAATGCTAGAATATATACTGTAAGTAATAACCATAGTAATAGTTCTGAATTCATTTCACTTATTGTTACTGTTATAAACGTAGAAGAGAGGATACTGATTATAACGCTTGCGGTTTTCTTGTTATATTAGTCCTTTCGCTTTTTACACGTATGTGGAACGTTAATTTACCTTAGACGACTATCTACACTAGATTCCCACCCAGTGTCTATTCTACACAACTTCAACACAACTCAGATCAAGAACACGAGGTTAGCCTGACTATATTGTCAATATATTTCCACACCGAAATCCGACACAAAGAACAGTCAATCAATAAGTGTCCATCAACAAGGAACAGTCAATACATAATAAGGATAGGGGAATATATATAACATATAACACCTGTCATCCTATCTAATATCTGACTCATCAAGACAATCAATCACTGTCATTCTCGCAACACATCAGTTACGTTGTACTTTGGTTTCAATAATGAAATATTTAGACAGAGAGATAAAGTAACAATAAGATTTCCATTGTATCTAGTCTTAGGAGACTGTTTCATATATAAACTGGAAAACAATCAATCTACATAGGTGATCAGTCAATTTAGTTTACATAAAAGGTAAACGAACGACTTGTTCGTCATTTGAGACGGGAATGACGAACTATATGAGATTTTACGTTTTTTTCAAAATATCCTTTTCTTTCTTAAATTTTATGTTAGAAAATGAAGTAGGTCAGTCTATCTCATTTCTCGATGTACTTCTGACAAGGAGAAATGAGGGATTTTTAAAAACTTCAAAAAACAGAAAACAAACATGAGATAGTCGAGTAACTTCAACTATTAGATTACAGTAAGCGAACACGTTGTATTACTGAATCCGTAAGATCTGTAATACAACATGCTTCGATGAAGAACTTGCGTTCCTCAGAGAAACGTTGGCAGAAAGCGGCTATACAAGTCATTTCATAAAGACTAATATGAATTGATGTTGGAACAAGAAACACGGTAATTCCGTCCCAAATAAATATCTTTTTTATAAATCTGGGATTTAAAGGTGACAAAATTTCTGATGTATTTAAAAGTCAATCAGCAGAAGCGATCAAATAAATTATCCATGCAGCAAAGCTGAGACTAACATTAACTGGTAGCCATGTATCTTCTGTATCCATAAGCAATAAGATCCCTCATCTGGTCGAGACTATGTGCATCCACCAGTTAACTTGCTCTTGCTGAGCAAAGTACGAGGCTTGTAAATAGAGCTTGCTTCCAACTCCAATTCTGGAACACATTACAATGTGATTCAACAAAGGTTAGAGGACAGCAGATACAAGTTGCATTGTTGAACGTTTATTCTATTGCAGTCACTTTACTGACCCACAGGTAGATTATAGGGTTCTTTATACAAATCGAATAAATCTATCTAGATGTTTTCGTATCACTTCACACTTCAAAGAGCAGAAGTTCTTGATATTCATGAAATGAAGGCATAACTGTTATTAACCACACATCTTGTAATGAACAGAACACTAGTTGGGACAATCGAATTAATTTAAGCACAAATTATAGACTATCTCACTAAATTCTGATAATCATATAGTAAACAGTTAACTTGCGAAATAACAACCAATTGTTTCAATCTTGACTGTTGTTTCTGTAAATATCACTTCATCTTCTCTAATTCCACTGTTCATGAATTTTCCTACCGATTGCGTTTCATTCCTGTTCTTTCTATATCAATCTTCTGTCAAAATGCATTCTATGTTTGACCATAACAATATACTACTTATATGGATATAAGTAGACCACACTACAATCTCAGATATATATTAACTAATCAAGTGACCAATTGTCATGGTAACCATTCAATCATTTCTTAGATCATTTAACCTGTTTATTTTTTCTGATTTTCTCAATAAAATATTTGTAAACTTGATGTAAATAGCTTTTGGAAGATAAAGAAATTTGTATAACTTACATTTTGAGGTTATTGCAGCTATAAATCAATAAGATTGATAAATATTCTTGTATACGTTCAGTCTAAAAGTTTTCATTTAAATGTTCCTAATCTTCAATAAACAAATGAATATCTTATATAGTTGAAATCATGAGTCAATTGAAGCTAGATCACCATGGAAAATCTGGAAGTACTGGATGGCCGTTTCGTCCCATTGTGGGATTCTTCAGCAGTGCGCATTCAAGATTCGAACACAGGACCTGTCAGTCTCGCGCGCGAGCTTCAATGGACTCATGATTTCAACCATATAAAATTACTAAAATCTTCACAAAACTCCCTTCTGAAAATGGATATCTATTAATTTATATTAATTATTGTACCACCACACCAAAACATGGTTTGAATCAGCACAAATAAATTGGTTTCATTTAATTTGAATATTGTTTACAAACACTATCATATCAATAACCGAAAGTTATTCGTAAGAATGAGCTAGAAAGAAAAGATGAAGCCTAAGAGGATCTCTTGAACATAGAATATAGAACCGTATGGATTTAATAATTTTTAAGGCAATGTGACCATATCATAAATTATGCAGAGTTTAAAATACGAATAAGTTAATTACTTGACCTTATTGTTAGTCCTACGCTTTCGAGATTAAACAAAAGAGGTTCTCATTTTATTCCCGGCACGGGTCATAATTGGAAATTGTAGGGCAGTTTCACTAAAAGACATTTCATCACAATTCGGTTCTATTAACAAAGAAATTTCATTCTTTTCAACACTACCCTTTTGCACTGGTTCGACAAAAAATCTATAAAATGGTCAGATATTTTTTAACATGTTATTAAATGGATGCTGCTATGATAAGTATGGGACTTTCTTAATCACAAAGCGACTAGGATAAGTGAGATAATGCTAAACACGTTGTTTATTATGAATTATCGAAATTAAATCCACTTTAAGCTAGACCATCATGGTAAAACTGGAGGCATTGGACGACTGTTAAGTCCTAGTATGGGACTCCTAAGCAGTGCGCATTCACGATTCTGTATGCAGGATTCGAAACAAGGACCTTTGTTCTTGTGCGCCAACGCTTGATTTCTACTATTCATGTGATCACTGGTGACTAGCTCTAACATGGATTTCCTAGAGCTCTAGTAAGTAGCCGTGGCCACTGGAGTCCGATTCGAGTCACATGTTGGACAGTTATCAGGAAATGGATGAAGGGTTGTGCAAGATCATGGATTGACTGCAGTTAGACACTAACACCGTTGAATGCCGGCCTACCGGTCTACAGGTTAAGTGATAGCACACGAGACTGACGATCCTAATATTGAGAATGAGAACACGTGAGGGGACGATCGAATGAATTGAAACAAAAATTACAAACTGCCTCATTAAAATCTGATAACCATACAGTTAACAGTTAATTTGCAAACTATCAATCAATTGTATCAATCTTCACTGTTCCTTCTGCAAATATCAGTCCATCTTCTCTAATTTCATTGTTCATACATTTTCATACCGATTGTGCTTCCTTTCTGTTCTTTCCTTATCAATCTTCTACCAAAATACATTCTATGCCTGACCATTACCATATATGCTACTTATGTGGATATAAGTAGCCCACACCACACTTACTTCGGATCTTTTTGATGAGGAATTGTCGATACGCATTGCTGAGGAGTTCTTTACTAGGATTAAACAGTCATCCAGTGCTTTCAAGTTTTCTATGGTAATCTAACTTAGATTGATTCATGAATTTAACTTTGAAAATAACAATTACGTTCTCCACAAATATCCATTATGATAATATGAATTAAATAATATGTTAGTAGCACAAAAGTTAATGAAATCTTGATTAACTTACAAACACCAAAACAATCATATTCACCTTTAATTGGGAGGTCAAATAAGAAACATTAATAAAATCACTATTATTTGTTTTTAAGTAATCAAAAAAAATTATTCAACTTCTAATATATCACCGATCGTTAACCTAATCTTCTGGTCAAAATTTTGAAGACTGAAAATTCTCTAGCAAGACGATTCTGGAGCGAGACTGGTAGGTCCTGTGTTCGAATTTCACTAGGCGGCTTCGTGAATGTGCACTACTGAGGAGTCATACAATAGAATGAAACGGCCGTCCAGTGCTTCCAGGTTTTCCATGGTTGCCTAGCTTCAATTGACTCATGATTTCAACTATATAAAATTATTAAAATCTCCACAAAACCGTTTCTGAATATTAGTGAAAACAACAAAAACGTGTATTGGTTACTAAGAGATCATCTCTTTCATAAGAAATCATTGCATCTAATGAAAAGAGACGAAACCTAGTAGAAGAGAGAATATATGTGATCTTTTAGGCTTAATTAAAGACAGTTAAGTACAAAAATGTGCTCATCATGATAAAAGATCTAACAGATTTATAAGTAGAAAGAATGCAACAAACTGTAGCTACTTCTTTCAATGTTTGACTAGTTCAATGTCATCTAAGCATTTGCCAGTGATTTGGATCAAAGAGATTAATTGATGCATAAGACATGCTCATGGAATTCTTTTAACAAGTAAAAATTGATTGGTGGGACAAATTTTTCTTTAATAAAAGACCCTTAAGAGCAGCGTCAGTTTATTGATAGTGGACGAGGTGTAAGATAAATAGTGCCATGGGATTTTCATATTTCCTATATTAAATATTTGATCAGAAAGTACAGCTACCTGATAGAGTGTTATACCGATTTACTACCACTTATTCAAACATATTGGAATTCATTGATACTAGCGAAAAAGAACCAGTCCGAAATGAACTGAAAGTCCATCAGAGCTTAACAAGATAGTAATACCAGCATAAAATCATAAATTTAAGGTATTACCAGGCTGGCTTCAGACCTGGTCGTGGCTGTATCGACCACATATTCACCATTCGTCAAGTTTTAGAGCACAGACACGCTTATCGGCGTCCGACAATGTTAGTTTTTCTTGACTTGAAAGCAGCATTTGACTCTGTAGACCGAGAGGTTCTGTGGCAGTGTCTGTCATTAAAAGGTGTATCTGAGAAGTACATAAACCTTGTGAAGGCTCTTTACTCGAACACTACCAGTCGAGTGAGAGCTTATGGCGAACTGTCATATGATTTTACAACCTCAAGTGGTGTCCGTCAAGGCTATCCACTATCCCCGTTTCTGTTTAACTTCATTATAGACCTGTTGCTGGAAATAACACTCTCTTCGACTGAATCTACAGGAATTGATCTCCTACCAGGGGGACCACTAAGCGACTTAGAATACGCAGATGACATAGTCCTGTTTGGTGAAGACGCTGGCAAAATGCAGAGTCTTCTGTTGGAACTCAGTAATAATGCCAGGATGTTTGGGAAGCGATTCTCCCCATCCAAATGTAAATTGTTACTCCACGACTGGCCTGCGTCAACACCCCAACTAAGGATAGGGAGTGAAGTAGTCGAACGCGTCGACAACTCCACTTATCTTGGAAGTCTGATCAGCCCTAATGGGTTGGTGTCTGACAAAATCTCAGCACGGATTCAGAAAGCTCCTTTGGCTTTTGTCAACTTACGTCACCTATGGCGAAGACGAGATATCCGTCTATCAATTAAGGGACGAGTATACTACACAGCAGTTTGTTCTGTCCTACTTTACGGCTGCGAAACATGGCCGTTAAGAGTAGAAGATACTCGTACGTTAATAGTATTTGACCACAGATGCCTTAGAAATATTGCACGCATCTGCTGGGATAACCGGGTAAGCAATAGTGAGGTTAGACGCAGGATATTAGGAAATGATGGTAAATCAGTTGATGAGGTCATGAATCTTTATCGACTGAGATGGTTGAGCCATGTGTTACGTATGCCTCAACACCGATTACCACGACGATCTATGATGACTAGTATTGGGGACGGTTGGAAGAGAGTTAGGGGCGGCCAAACCAAAACATGGCATCAGTGTTTGAAGTTACTAACTTCTAGCCTGAGCCATGTTGGCAGATGCAGACTACCTGGTTGGGGTCCGCATGACTATCGTAATAAATGGTTGGAGACTATAGGTGACATGGCACAGAATCGATCACAATGGCGTAGGTGTATACACTCTTTATCTTCCCTTAAACCTTGAGACTAAAATTGCTTCATATCTCTCTCCCTTCCTGTACTATATCCTTATATACAACCTATAATTTATATACTACTACCAACACTAAATTAACTACTATGAATCCGGTGTTCATCTTGTTGTGCTAACGAGGTATGGCAACTTGGACCGATGCATATATGTGCCTGGTCCTATGTTGTAGCTGACTGACTGACAATTGACCTTTAGTTCAGAAAGGTCGACAATATACAACGGAGACGGAACTTGATTCTTTAAGTTTGCTTATTTGCAACATAAACTGTATTATCAGTATTAAAGAATATTATTTACCTCTACTATGTATAGTTCAAGCAGTTTTATTGTAGTCATTTTCGATCACTTTTATCTCGCTAATTATTAATTTAGAAGGACTATATTTATCACATTGAATTTTATTCTTCATCGATTCTTTCAACTTGAACTGACTTTCATTAGGATGTGGAAGTTTAAATAATGACTTTAAATCATCGCTCTCTCGTCTAAGTTCTCATTAGAATGCAACGTATTTGTAGACATTGATTCATTTTTGTATTGTTTGTTTGAATCTTCTCTTTGATGTTCAGGACTACAGTTGACCAGTCTCTTGATGGCATACGTGCATACAGATTGCCTGGATATTGTCTTAAATCACAAGCATTATAAGCAGAGATAGTTGATGGATAGCAGTGGAAATCAAAGATGAGCGTCTCATTGTATTTGGGACTCATCAGCTAGATGTACCTGCATCTCAGAGTTGATGTTCCCTCCAGAACTCGAACCCGATACCATTCTCTTTGGACGTAATCGCGTTATCTATTCGGTTATTTAGTTCTGATAACCACTATCTTATACAATGTGGTGATGTTTTAATTCATTTCGGTATTGTTTATTTGAATCTTCTCATTGGTATTTCAGATTGCAATTGGTAAATCTGTTATTGGCATATGTATAACCTGTACAAATTGATGCGATGGTATTTGAAGCGAACGGTATTTGGTTCAAGTCTCGGAGTGAACATCAACTTGAAGTAGTAGGTAAATCCAGCTGACGAGTATCAAACAGGATAAAATATACGTTCTGGATTCCATTACTAACCACTATCCATCTTTGCTTATATTTGCATATAGTATTCATTGATCAAATCCATACATTAATGAACTTGTTTCAAGGCAAGTGTAAATTATAAACATACACCTATTGTAAAACGGATAATTGTATAGCCTTACATCTTTCAGTTTTATATAATGCATCTAAATGAGAAGAAAATTTAACCACGTAATATAGTGTTTACTACTTTAATATATTTCAACGTGGATTTTTATTATTTTTTTAAACAAATAATAACTATAACATTAAATAATGGCATTATAAGCAAAGATGGATAGTGGCTAGCAGTGGAATCTAGGATGCGCGTTTCGTCCTATTTAGGACTCATCGGCTGGATATTCTTGCATCTCAGAGTTGATGTTCACTCTGTGACTCGAACCCAGTATCTTTCGCTTCAAACACCATTGCGTTATCCACTCAGATACTGAGTCCTGATAGCCACTTGCTTATGCAAAAGGGTAAAGTTTATAATCACGTACGATTACAATCAAAAATACCTATAAATGAATTTTTTTTTAAACAAAAAAAGCAATTCATAGAATCTCAACTCTTTAATGAATATTCATTTAAAATATCAAATAGAAGACATTGAGCATCATCCGTAAAAGACTCGAATGTCTATTCGTAAATTATTGATTAATCATTCAGAAAAATTGTTGTACGTATTGAAAGGAATCAGATATATCTATCAGGAGTAAAGTCAAATTGTTAGGTAGAAACTGACATCTTATAATGCCAAATTTTAACAACAAAAAGGCGAGACTATAATTTATGGACGACCTTTGAACGAATCTTAAGTGACCTTGAGAAATGTTAGCCGATCAGTAAACAGCCAGTATAGAGTAAAAATATATTATACAAAACCAAATAATTAAAGTTGATACACTTATTTTATATGGTCTAAAAACTTGTCCAGGTTAGAAAAAGGTTCAAAGGTTCTAAAATCGTAATGCATAAGGTAGAGAAACTCATCCATATGTCTCCATAGTAGTTGGTCTCCGGAGCCATGATAAGGTCATAAAAACCCTCTCAGCCTCGACCACATAGCTGCATTATTGGTTGTGTGTACTCCGGTTGTGTAAGTTTATTATAGATATCTCCCTACAATATTCATACTACTGCACAGCCGAAGCTTCAGTAACATCTGCAATTATTGCAGCCAATGTTACTGGTGCTCTTATTATACAGTTGACAGCAATTATTATAATATGCCTTAGTCTCAATCTAGATTGAGCGATAAGGGTTCTTATTCTAGTAAACATCTTCCTTTAAGATATATTACACCGAAGGACAACATCACGGTAGTCTGCACAAGATCCACAAGTCATTTAATACTCGTAATTACAAACACAGGAACTTCTTAGTAGTTTCATTTGTTGTAGCCACTCAATTGTCAAGTCTTCTCTATAATTCTCTGTGAACCGATCGTACATGAGCATCAGGTACATTTCATTAATTTTAACAAATCCTTATATTTTCAAATGCCTATGTAAACTTATTCTAATACAACCTTATTGTTAAAAACCAATTTTCTTTAAAACATAATATATACAGGGATCCTTTATTGAAAAGTGGAATCTCGTTGATTCCTAACTTGCTTAGATGATTTCTAAAAAGATGTGAATATTTACTATTTGCCGGAACTGTTTGTAGGTTCGTAAACTTCACTGACTATTCATGTAATGAAAATATAAATGAGTTTGTAAGTATCATTGTTATGGTTTGATTAAATAATTCTAAAATAAATTGTGCGTCAGATAGATCACGTTTTGTGATTAATTGTATGTCACTAGAAGGCCATTTTGTTTTAGTATAGGACTCTTCAGCTGTGCCTATGCACGAACATGCACTCGGGGTTCGAACCTTGGACTTTCAGTGCTGATCGCCAATTCCTGATCGTCCATCACTTAAAGACTTTCAATAGTTGTCTAGCTTAGATAGTATCAAGAATTCAACTGTTAAAATGCTAGCGAAGACATGAGTACGGGTAGCTTTCGAGACCTATTAATTAACGACTATTCTATATATATTCTTATTGTTTAACCATTGAGTAATTAGATTATGTATATCTATATTCATATTATTATAAGCTTCATTTTGACCCACGGATTATTATTATACGGATTACTGTTCCTATATTATACTCAGTTTATTGATTATTGTCTCCCACGTTCACTGTCACACTCGGCTTGATCCTGTACAAATATTGTTTTCTATTTTATAGGGTGATGCGGTCTGTCAGTTTGGTATATGAAACAAGTGTGCTTGAAATAAATGATTCGCAGAGCAGAAACTATAATCGGTGTTTTGGACTCAATTGGAATGGCTTGGAGGACAGGGTATCAATAAGGACGCTAGGTTGCTCATACCGGTCGAATATCATTGTTTTGGCCCAGTGCTAAGATTGAAAATGTCGTATTCCGATTGATGGGTAAATCACGTGAGAAAAGCCGGACATAAAATCATAACAAATTGACGACAACCTTTTTAAGTTCATAACAATTACCAAATATACATGACATTTATTTTCGAAATATCACTAACTGGTGAGTACTATAAAATAGATAGAACTACCTGTCTATAATATGAAACTTTAAATTCTAGTTTGTTAAAACTAAGCTTTCGGATGCTTTTAGCTTTGAGTATAAATGACTTACAGTATTCATATCCAATATGTGCTATGACTACAAATACAAAGTTGAAAATTATAGCTAGATCATTGTAGACTTCATTATATATGTAATATATAAAGTACAATGAACATTTATGTCAAGAATTTACCAAAGTTTACATTATAGAATACACGTCCAGACAATTCTGGAGCAAATTTAATAAGCAGTTAAAGGAATGAGTATTGATGGTATATCTCTTGTTTGATGATTCATACATTCTTACTTAAACCAAATAAACTTGAACGAATCAAGGTAAAAAAGGATGAAACGCACGTCCTCGATTCCAATGCAAGCCACTAGCCATCTTTGTTTAAAAAACTTGACTTAGGATAATATCGAGGCAATCCTTAAGGATGCACATATGCCAACAAGAAACTGATCAATTGCAGTCCTAAACAACAATGGGAAGATATAAGGAATCAACACTAAGTGCATTCAAGATTAAAGTTATTTTATTTGACACTTGTGAGATCCAATGAAGCTCACTATGCCAACTCCAGTTTTCCTTTACATATAAAAGCATATTGTCTGAGAATTTATGTTGAATAAATGTCGAAAACATCAAAATACTTTAATAGATTTCATTGTCTTACACAATCTATCATCTTGAAATGATATTCTGACGCCTAAGTATAATGAATGATAAGTGAGAATATTTGAATAACGATGACATATTTAACTACATTTTTCAAGATTCAAAGTTTTCAGAAGGGGCTTTTGTGGAGATTTCAGTAATTTTATAGTTGAAATCATGAGTCAATTGAAGCTATACCGTCATGGAAAACCTGGAAGCACTGGACAGCCGTTTCGTCCTATTGTGAGACTCCTCAGTAGTGCGCATCCACGAACGGTTGAAATTAGACATTAACACCGTTGGATACCGGCTCAGTGGTCTAGCGGTTAAGCGCTCGCGTGCGATTCAAAGTTTTATTAAAAGTTTTGATGAAGTTCTCAACTTAAATTGTTCAATTAAAACTTTTAGATGTTTCGAGTTTCTTTTTTTTATTTCGTAACTTACTATAATCGATTATTGATCGTGCAACTCCAGAAGCCTCGTTTTCTGAAATTACAGAAAAAAGTTCAAAAATATCTTACTTTTATTGTAAAGTTAGCACCATAAATTGTTGTTAACCTAAGAATTAATAACAATCAGAGACTATTGGATAACCTACCTATCAGAATCTCGTGAGGTGGGATTGTGGATGCGCACTGCTGAGGAGTCCCACAATAGGACAATACGGTCGTCCAGTACTTTTGAGATTTCCATGATGGTCTAGCTTCAATTAATTCATGATCTCAACTATTAAAATTTCTATAATATCCACAAAACCTCTTCTGATATCAATCTTGATTGGTTTACGAATTTCTTATAAGCATATATCCATATGTATATCAAAATAAATTAGAGGGAAAACTGATGAAGATATAAACTAAAACAATTTAGCAACCAACAAAGAAATTACAAGAAATACATCTGTTGATATAAAGCAGCAATATAACTGTTATATCTAGAGGTTTGATTCTTATTATGCCGCGTACTGCTAGACTACGTGAACGATCGAACCCGATAGAACGTCGCAAGAGCAACTGGTCAGTCTCTAATTGGCATATGTGAATCCTGTGTGTATTGTCTCTATATAGCCTTAACTCACAAGCAATTGTAAACAAAGATGGATAGTGGATAGCGGTGGAATCCAGTTTGATGCGCGACACTTTGTCCTATTTAGAACTCGTCAGCTGGACGTACCTGCATCTCAGAGTTGATGTACACCCTGGGACTTGAACCCAGTACCTTTCGCTTCAAACGCCATTGCGTTATCCACAAGGCCACTGAGTTCTGATAGCCACTTACTTCTGCGATGGGGTATAGTTTAAATTCATTTAGTATTGTTTGTTTGAATTTTATTATATATAGTAAGAATGCTTCTATATAAATATTGATATAAACGATTATTTAAGAAAACATTACAGTCAAATGATCCCATCTGATGAATCTATAAGTGATCCAATTAAAGACTTAACTACAACCATTAAGACATGGATACAGAAACGCACATTATATCCGTGAACATGACAACTGATTTTTTTTAATATTATCATTATTTGCGTTAAAAAATTTATGACAGAAGAAAGATGTAACCTACTATGATGTTCACAAGCTAAATTGCCTAAAACATGAAAGTGAAATTCATGCTTATTGTAGGAAGTAGAAGTATGAGTGTTTTTTTTGTTTCCTGTTTAACTTATTTAAACATATAAACATTGGTACAAGTAGGCACCAAATAGATTTGTGCACATAAATCATTTGATTTTTGTGATGGCTGAGATTCCGCTCGGTTACCCAAATCGAAGCAGATGGTTTTCTTAGGGAGGCACATCCCGAACCTTTGACTTAAAGGTCTAATCCACAAGGCGGTGGAGCAATGTTACGAGATGTAGTCCTATGACAGTCAGTGACCTACAATATGCTCATCCACCATTTCTTTCTTTAGGATCATGGGACTCATGTGTACCATTGGTTTGAAATCAGGGTTTTTCAAATCTCTTATAGGAATATTTCGCACATATCAACCGGGTTAAAGCGCCGGACATTCGCTTTTCATCTTTTAAATTTTATAAACACCCTTGCCACGAGATGGCGTTGATTAGGACTTCCCCGACAGTGACTGTATGCCATGTCATTATATATTATATGTATTCAGTAATTTTCATGGTTAAGATGAGCGAAATAAAGAAATCCTAGATGGTGGAGAAGAGTTGCAGCTCAGGTGAATGATTTTAATGGAATTTTTGTTCTCTGAGTTGTATGGTTTCGTTGTGGAGCTTTCATCGTCCTTCTGAACGGTAATCATTAGCACAAACTTCGGACTTTTACCCGAAATTAAAGAAGAAATCCTGGACGCTGTAATAGATATTCACAAATTCATTGAACAATTCTTTATACTACTAATTATCCGAGCTATAATTGATGGATAGATATTTTGAATAACCTTTATTTCATGAAAGTATTTCAACAGATTTTAAGCCAATTATACTTACAATAAAAATATTGTGGATTAGCCCCTATACATCAAGATGTAAAGAAAATCATTTCGTTTGTAAATAACAATCTTTAACTAGTTTATACAGATGGATAGTTTATGTATTATTATCACCAAACATTGATGCATCTATCGCGATGCCATTTGAAGCGAAAGATACTGGGTTCGAGTCACAATCTGAACATCAACTCTGAGATGAAGGTACATCCAGCTAACGAGTCCCAAATAAAACGAAACGTTCGTCCTGGATTCTACTACTAGCCACTATCCATCTTTGCTTATTATTATACGATTTACCATTCCTTACTTATCTTTAGTCCATTAATTACTGTTCCCCCTATTCACAGACACATTAGGCTAAATCTTACACAAATGTTATTTTCTATTTCATTGGTACGATGTGGTCGGTTTGATTGGTATATAAACCCAGTATGTTTAAGAATAATGATTCATATTACAGAGGCTGTTATTGGTATTCTGGATTTAACTGGCTGATCTAGGCAGAAAGCAGGACTGATAAGTACTCAAGACTGCTCATATGGCTTTTGTGTATTATTGATCCGAACGATAATTCGCTGCTCTCTAATTGGCGGTCTTAAAACGTTCATATATTATAACAGAGCATGCACTCACTAGATATAACAATATCTATTCTGATTCAAAAATTTACTAGTGATCAATAAAATGACAAATGAATATTCGTAATTTAAAAAACCGCTCTTTTTTTCTTTTTTTCAGGAAACAGCAACTAATTTAAAGTATTTTCATAGTTCAAATCATGAGTCAATTGAAGCTAAATCACAATGGAAAACCTGGAAGCACTGAACGGACGCTTCGTCCCATTATGGGACTCCTCAGCAGTGCACATCCACGATCTCTCCTCACTTCGCGAAATTCGAACTCAGGACCAACCAGTCTCACGCCAGAGCACTTAACTTATAGACCACTGAGCCTAGCTTCAATTGACTCATGATTTCAACTATTAAAATACTGAAATACCCACAAAAAACCCCTTCTGATCTATAATTTATAGTACTTTACTTTATAATATTGAAATAAGTGATTAATCAAGACATACGTTCTGAACATGCAATATTACCTAAAGAATGAATAAAATCAATAAACTTGTGAATCCTAATAAAGATAGGTATATAACAGAGTTTTAATTAATAACTTACTTACTTACACCTGTTACCCCTCGTCGAGGAGCATAGGCCACTCACCAGCATTCGCCATCCAAAGAGTTTTAATTGTTCTATTATTATGAATGGTTTTATTCAATATTAGATTTTTTGGTATAATATAGAATTCCCAGTACAATGTATTTCAATAAGTTTCCGTTTCTTACTTCTTGATCGATCCTGATGACAAATATTGACTGGTCTTCGGTTAGATGTTAGCAGTTCACGAATCAACATTTGAATAATGTTCATTCTTTTGAATGCATATTCCCTGTCAGCCACCACGATATGTTTGATTAAGCTCTTTTGTAAGTTGTACAGCGAAATGTTGTAAACTTTTCATAAACCAACCTGAATAAGTTATGCGACTAATAGGCATAATGATGTGTTCAAACAAACAACAACAAAGATAACTTGTTGAAATATCTAGATATGAGGAACAGGTAGCTCAGATATTCAAACAGTTCGCATTATGTTCCATTTTATATGTGTTCACTCAGTTAAAACTTGCAAGAAACTATCTAACATCATTTATATATGTCACTTTCATTCCGTGAATCACTTGTTTGTCAAACAGATTAAAGCAATCTAAATAGTTTTGGATATCTAGGATATGAGTCACTAAGTTTAGACAGTTGAATTCAATCCTTTTATTCAAATGACTTTTTCATTCTTCGAAGTATATGTGAATACAGTTCAAGTTGTCAGGTCAAAAAATTGGAAATATTTTTTTACCAAACAGTGATGATGAACTTATTTAAACATACCCGTATTATGTCTATATACCATCTGATTGAATGTCATCGCTAATTAGTTATGATAGTTTACACATATGCAATGAACATCGTTATGCCCCGATAAGGATAATGAATGGTAACTTTGGGATCTACTTATAAACCGATGACTGCCTCTCACATTCACCGTCACATTTGGCTAAATCTTGTCCATATGTTATTTTCTATTTTATTGGTATGATGTGGTCAGTTTGATTGGTATATAAACTCAGTGTGTTTGAAATATAATGATTCATACTATCGAAGTTGTTCTGGACTTAACTGGCTGGGCTAAGCAGAAACAGGACCGACAAGTACTCTAGACTGCTCATACGGTTTCCGTGTGTCACTGTTCCAATCGATAATTCGCTGCTCTCTGATTGTCGGTCTTATCCCCTTATACGTTAACAGGGCATCCACTTGGCCACAAGTTATTACAAACATATATAACTTTGGATGAAACAATCGTTTTAATCAATCAGTACAATGAATAACTTTTAATCTGTATAAAGAAAGTAATCAGAACAAACTCTTGAATATATAATAGTAGACAAATGGTAGATAAAGTGTATCATTACTTACAATATTTCTCCATATATTTATCTAAGGCGAAAGTCATTTATTAAAAAAAATAGTTACATTAATAATTCTGCCTAGATTATATAATATACTGGATGAATAAAGACTTCTTTATGATTACATGGTGAACGTAAGCTTGCTAACTGAACTATTATTGAAATGATACACTACCTGTGGACAGAATGGGTCAACAAAAAAACCTACGAATGAATTTTAGTCTAACTTATATGATTTTGGATGTAAGGCAACGTTATTATTTCGTAACTAACATCTTCTAACCATTTGCCAAGTGATGAATGAGTGTAATGTATTATTATGGATTGGTTGAAGTTATACATCACCACCATCAGATGCCGGCTAAGTGATCTAGAGGTTAAGGGCTATGGCGTGAGACTGGTAGGTCTTGGGTTCAGTTCTCGCGAGTGCGGGATCGTGGATGCACACCGCTGAGGTATCCCATAATAGGACGAGACGGCCGTCCAGTCCTTTCGTGTTTTCCATGATGGTCTAGCTTCAATTGACTCACGCTTTCAACTATGAAAATATTACATTTAAATTATTCCCAATTGTTTCAAACACTCAATATCTCAATTTATTGTGTTTGATACGTGCATAAATTGATTTATTTCAAATAAGTTATCAAACAAAAGTTACGTATTTGACCTTACGATACATATGATAATGTTTATTGAAAGTTCTACGTTAGACAATTTTCAAATGTTCTTGGAACCTAAAGTTATAGCATAGTTATTGGTTTATATATATACTTACTTTCCAAGATTGATTTCAAATAAGTTGCACACAGACATATATTATCTGCAAACTTGTTATGTCCCAGTAAAAATAGTGAATGGTAACTTTGGGATCCATCTATAGACCAATATTATGCTGTTCTGAACTTAACTGACTGGGCTAGGCAGAAAGCAGGACCGATACGTACACTAGACTGCTCGTATGGTTTCTATGTGTCACTGTTCCAATCGTTAATTTGCTACTCTCTGATTGGCGGTCTTATCACGTCATACATTAACTAGGCCTCCACTTGGTCACAAGTTATGACAAAACCACATTAAATAAGCGTATAGAATAATGATCTGCATAACAGAATCTTCTATATTAAAGCCATGTAAACAATATTAAAGTCATATGGTCGACATAATCTCATGAAATCGGTTCAAAAATGGTGAAAAGATCAATCTAAATACTTCCGAATACTTTTTAGTTGAATGCACCTTCATAATATTACCGTCGAATAACTTTTTGACTATTTGTACAAAACTTTCAATGATACTTCACAAAATTGATGATATTTTCATTATGATTTATGTACAGTAATCTATGTAGCATTGGAAACATTAAACCGCTACTAATTTACTTATGTACTGAACAGGAAGACGAATGAGAACAAGCGAATATATTCGACACGGAATTACAGACTATCTCAGTATAATTTGACAACCATACAATAAACAGTTGATTTGTAAATTATCAATCAATTGTCTCAATCTGGAACGTTCTTTATGCAAATATCAGTCCACAGTCTCCGATTATTATTGTTCATGTATTTTCATACGAATTACATTCCATTTCCGTTCTTTCGTTATCGATCTACTGAAATACATTCTATGCCTGACCATCATCATATATGCTACTTATGTGGATATAAGTAACCCACACTACACTTAGGCTAGTTAACATTTATCATGATTGCCTTCATTAGTTATAATGATAAATAGCTAGAAAGATAGTTTACTTATTATAGACTTAGATTATGTTAGAATAAAAAATCAGTTCTTATTGTATTTGGTTTTACAAATTTTCCCTCATAATGTGTCTCTATAATACTGTATTGAACAGAACACCGGTTGGTAGACAATTGAATGTAGTTAAGCCAAAATTATAGACTATCTCACGAAATTCTGATAACCATACAATGAACAATTAATTTGCGAAATATCAATCAATTGTCTCAATGTTCACTGTTCCTTCTATAAATGTCAGTCCGTCATCTCTGATTATTATTGTTCATGTATTTTCGTACTGATTTCGCTTCATTCCTGTTCGTTCCTTATCGAACTTCTGCCAAAATACATTTTATGTCTAACCATCATCATACACTACTTATATGGATATAGGTAGACCACACTATAATACCATAAAACAGTTTTCTCAATAATTTCTTGATTCGAGAAATACGTTATTATAATATTTTATAATTGTTTAGTATACTTCAATCGACTATATACTATAAATTTGAATTTGCTTTCTTAAACTTAAATTAACTGATTCTATAATTATATATGCTTGAAATCATGAGTCAATTGAATCTAGACCACCAGGGAAAACCTGGAAGCACTGGACGGCCGTTTCGTTCTATTGTGGGACTCCTCAGCAGTGCGCATCCACGATCCTGCCTTGTGAGATTCGAACCCAGGACCTACCAGTCTAGCGTCAGTGCAATTATCCGATAGACCACTGAGCTGGTCGGCATCCAACGGTGTTAATGTCTATAACTGTTTGTTTGGATTATTCATTCACTCACTTAAAATGGTCTTTCTTTAGTAACAATACGTCTATTCATAGTATCCCTTATACATTTAAATTGATTGCATAATGAAAGCAATCATATATACATGGAGATAACAACTTGATTCCGAATATGTCGTTCATGTTTTTCACAGTATGTTGTTATCAGGAATGGTGTTTTGTGGAGATTTTAATAATTTTATAGTTAAATCCATGAATAAATTAAAGCTAGACTAACATAGAAAAACTCGAAGCATTGGATGGCCGTTTCATTCTAGTATTATTTGAAATCCAGAGAGTGGGATTGTGAATACTCACTGCTGAAGAGTCCCATACTGGGATGAAATGGTTAAATGAATTTCGATATCTTCAAAAATTTAGAAATAAATTTAATCTATATCATAAGACTATAATGTTGATTTAACTTACCATTAGAGTAACATTCTTCAAGGCCTAAATTATGAAATTTCATTGATAGTTATATATAAGGTATATAAGGTATTACAATTCAAATGAACTTATCAGAAGATCAATGCTTACATTTGGGAGCTATAATAGAAATGTTTAATAAAATAACAACTTTCAATCATTTTCATTATATAATTTGTATATTGATTACATGTTAAATAATTTCTATGCCCCCAAATGCCCTGGTACGGCCGAGAGAGGGGAGAGTCCGCTCGACCTCTCCAAATGCTCTCACATGGCCACGCAAATATATAGCCTCTGCCAGGGAAGTCCTACTCACTGCCTTCTCGTGGCATCACTGTTATTTACGGAATTGAGAGGACGAAAAGCGAATGTCCGGCGCTTTAAACGGGTTGGTGGACACGGGGTGTGGCCCCCTAAGAAAGCCACCTGCTTTAGTTTGGGCACCTGGGCAGTATGACAGCTCTCACATAAATGAAATGAGATTTGTGCGGTGCATATGTATCTGGTACTTCCTTGTACCAATATTTGTGTTTAATCAAGTAAATAAATAAATAAACACTGGCAACAAAAACTATTCCTTATAATTTGTGATAGAAGTTATGACCAGTGGAGACCGATCCGTCTCTAGTATGAAACAGTTATCAAACAATGAATATAGGATTATTCAAGAACATAGATCGATTAAAGTTAAATAATAACACCATCGGATGTTAGCATGAGTGACTGAAGGTCCTAGATTTAAATCACACTTGAGAGATCATGGATGCTCACTGTTTAGGAGTTCCTTACTAGGATCAAATAGCCCTCCAGTGCTTCCATATTTTCAATAGTTGTCTAGCTTACATTGACTCATAAATTCAAATATTAGTTTAAACTTGGTTTTCTAAATTGTAATGGTAAATTAAATGTGTACCCATTATTATTATTATTAATTATTATTATTATTATTATTATTATTATTATTATTATTATCATTATTATTATTAGCTTACTATTTATTTTTTCTGCAGCTACTAAAAGAACAAATATACTTCCAATGGTGAATTAAATTATTTGATAACCATAGAGTTTAAAATTAACACAATATATATTTCCTTGAAAAAGCTTGGACCAGATCACCAGGCGAAACGTTGGATTTACTTCAAATTCATTTGCTGAGATTTTACAAATATCAGCGCCCAAATACTGTGAAACTAATCGCTCTAATCTAGACGAAGGTAATTCTATAACTCAATAAAGATTGATAGAATTTCAGATCACTTATTTGAAGACTTAGCTGATAGAATATCAAACGACAAATAACATAACTAATAGACTGGAATCAATGAAGATTCATCTTGTTTATTCAAGTCAGATTTAAAATAAATCGAATGGTGCACGATTGTATTTTTGCAAAAGATTCCATCTGATATCAAATGTAGTACTCAATTAAATAAAGTAGTATATAATATATATTGAAATTTAAATTCAACTTAGCATTGTTTGTTTGAATCTTCCCATTGATGTTTTTAGGAAAGCAACTGGTCAGTATCTTATTGGCATATGTGAATACTGTGCGTATTGCTTCGATATAGCCTAAATTCACAAGCATGGTAAGCAAAGATGGATAATGGCTAGCAGTTGAATCCACGACACGTGTTTCGTCCCATTCCGGGTGGTGCCTACGCAGGACGAAACGCGCGTCCTGGATTCCACTGCTAGCCACTATCCATATTTGTATATTGAAATTGTTTAAGCTAAAATTCGAGCGGAAATTAGATATAAAGCGAATGTTTTATTTCATTTAATTATCACTAAGAAATATGATAAGATGTCAAAATTCACAATCAGTGAACTCGGTTTCAATAAAAATTTGAGACGATAATCAGTAATCCACCAATTCAAATCCTATTTATTTGTAAACTCGGCGACCTACTTGAACACTTGGGCTACCTGTTCCCGTCATCTAGGTATATCAACAAGATATGTAATTTTGTTTGTTTTAATGCATCATTATGGCTATTAATCACATAACCTATATAGGTGCGTTTCTGAAAAGTGTACAACCATTCGCTGTAAATGTTACACTAAGTACAATCAGAGATATCGTGGTTGCTGGCAATATGCAGCGAAAACAATGTACATTGCTTAGATGTTGATTGACTGGACTACTAACTTCTAACTGTCAATCACTAAAATATTTACCGTCAGGATCGACGAAGAAGTAAGAAGAACGGAAACTTGTTGAAATACTTTGTAATGAGAAGTCTATATTGCACTAAAATATTACATTGAATAAAGCTCACAATAATAATAATAACGCGATGGCGTTTAAAGCGAAAGATATTGGGTTCGAGTCCCAGAGTGAACATCAACTCTAAGATGCAGGTACATCCAACTGACGAGTCCCAAACAGGACGAAACGCGCGTCAAACTGGATTCCACTACTAGCCTTTATCCATCTTTGCTTACCATGCTTGTGAATTTAGACTATATCGAGGCAATACGCACAGTATGCACATATGCCAATAAGATACTGACCAGTTGCATTCCTAAACATAAATTAAAAGGTTCAAACAAACAATACTAAGTTGAATAATAATAAGAACTGTTTCAAACTGAGCACTTCATATACCTACTGTATGACTAGTTGGAATTCAAAGAGTAATGTAATTGATTCAGAATAATAGCTTAGAATTATCGAAATATCTGTACATCGTTTAAATTCCATTTTCACTGGAAATTTCTTACTTATCAAGATCCTATCATTTTTTAATTCAAATAATAATGCACCTCGATGCAGTACTAATTTCATACTTTATTCGACTTGTGTATATAACTGAGTACATCACAAAATCAATAATGCCATACAGATTGATAAACATTTGGTTATAATGTTTCTAATCCTTTCCTAGTTAATTCAGATAAGGCAATTTTTAAAGGTAAATCAAAAAGTAATTATCATTCAAAAGATATTCTTCATTAAAAAATCATTATTGTTAGTTATAAGTATAATCATAGTTGAAATCATGAGTCAATTGAAGCTAGACCACCATCGAAAACATAGAAGCACTGGACGACCGTTTCGTCCCATTATGGAACTCTTCAGCAGTGCACATCCACGATCCCGCCTTGCAAGCGAGATTCGGACCTAGAACCTACCAGTCTCGCGCCAGAGCACTTAACCGATAGACCACTGAGCCGGCTGGTATCCAACGGTGTTAATGTCTAGGTAGGTCCTGGGTCCGAATCTTGCTCGCGAGGAGGGATCATGGATGTGCACTGTTGAGTAGTCCTACAATAGGACGAAACGGCCGTCCAGTGCTTCTGTGTTTTTCATGGTGGTCTAGCTTCAATTGACTCATGAGTTCAACTATGAAAAATACAGAAATCTCCACAAAACCCCTTCTGAATACATGTATAATCTTAAAAAACTCATTTTCACTTACCAATCCAGTATATAGATGTAATCAAGAATAATACAGCAAACTCCATCAGTAGACTTTCTTAATCGAACTATATGAGGTTTGACTTTCATTCACATAATATGGTTATATAGTCTTTTAGTTGATTGAATCACACATATTTTGTACTATACTACAGCCCTTCCATTGAAACACGATCGTTTCTCACACAAATTTATCAAACTTGTTTTGGTAAATATAAGTTTTTTCTATAACAAACCAAACAATGATTTATTTTAGAAATAATATTTACAGGCTAAATAATGATCAACAAAAGGGGGATCATTGTTTCCAGGTAAATATTCCCATACTATTGGATTGTAAAAGTGTTTGTTACTCTAACGAAGAATAACGAAGAATAAACAAACCAATGAAATTTCCTTTGTACTGAAAAATAAATATAAATAGACTGAAAAAGAATTTTATTTAGCTAAACCTGTATATCTATATGAGTTTATTAATTTGAATATTTTAATCATTGAATTCATGAGTCCATTAAACCCAGACCATCATGGAAAACCTGGAAGCACTGGTTGACCGTTTCGTCCTAGTATGGGACTCCTCATCACTGTTCATCCTCGATGGCGCACGCTGCTGGATGTCAGCTTACTGGTCTAGAGTTTAGGTGTTCATGCGCGAGACTGAAGGTTGTGAAATCGAATTCCACCTGCGGGATCGTGGATGCGCACTGATGAGGAGTCCTATACTGAGACGAGACAGTCGTCCAGAGCTTCCAAGTTTTCGATGGTGGTTTAACATCAATCGGTTCGTGATCTCGATCATAAACCTAATAATCTTTACAACCTCATATTGATGTAACCAAATTATCCGCAAGAATTTGTAATACTATTGTTGAATTTAAAATGCAAAATAACTATAAACATTTTTCTTTGTAAGGCCTCGTTCTGGACAGTTTCCAACTCATATGGATGGAAATCAATGTTTTTTCGATACCACTGAAGATCATCTCAATTAAATATAGAGTGACCAGCTTGCTTTCCGGTAATATCCCAATGTTTTATTAAGGAATCATCGTTAATCAACTTTTGAAATATTAGGACTGAAGTAGTCAACACAGAACCATTTGATGAATAATATGTGACTATTTTCTTGCTTACAAGTAAAATAAAAGATGTGGGTTAGATCTGGTTATTCTCTCCTGAAATTTCACATAGTGTATACCAGATTAACAAAACAATAAAGTTTGTTATTCCAAATTTACATGAGTTATGACGGAACACTACAGTGTTATTTGACCAATTGCTTTCAACCAGTAGTATATTTCCGAACTAACCATTTTATCATGTGTATAAAATACTTGACACTCCTTATTGTGATGAGTTGTTTACCATGTAGTGCTGTGCTTCAATAATAGTTCACTTCGAAAACCGTTGTTATGCCAATCTTAACGGTGTATAAAATCAGAAGGCATAGGGAAGCAGCAACTACATTTTTATTGATGAATGATGCAGACCAGAAAGCTATGGGCACATGAGCAAGTGTAAGCGAGCGAAGCAAAGATGATGCATAGAGGAGATGGCTGGGAAGCCAACTCGCTATGAACAAGCATTACTCAATATTTATAATCAGACAAAAATGAATGACAGATATATTACGAATAGGATACGAAGGGTACACATATACGCTCATATAAAAATATAGTCAAGGTTAATAAGCGAATAATTAACAAGATCAAAATATGACTCATAATGTATAGGTGAATTAGCTTGGCCAGAAGTTATAAGGTATATGGGCTTAACATGACAACCGATACTACAACCACTTCGGCTCACTGAATCTACGCTGTTGAATATGCCAAACGCTTTCCACGATGACGCAAGCCTGTGATATGCGTTAATTTGTTCTTTGTAATCGTATCAATTGATATATCTTGATTATAAGGAAAGGTAGCACAAACTGTTTACAGTTATTGTGGCAAATTAGGTAGAAAACATTTTCAGAAATTGTAGACATCAAGGGTACTTTAGTGAATAACACATCATACTCTTGGCCACATTGTTTCATCATATTCCACTACAACATCTAGAAATTTTATTCTAAACAAAGCATCAAATCGATATTAACAAATGAACTGTCTAATTATCTCAAAGATACAAAAAGTATACAAGCCTTAATGCTAGAAACCCAGCTACATATAAAATAAAATTTCGTCTATTCATGTTCTGACACAGTTTTTCTCCTCTTGTTTTAAATGTAATCAGTGGGGTTCAATCCATGTCGGGTAAAGATAGTTATCTACCTCACACAACAAATGAAGGGTTGTGCAAGATCATGAATCGATTGAATTAAGACAATGGCACCATTGGATCCAGGTTCAGTGGTCTAGAGGTTAAGCGTTCGCGTGCGAGACCGACAATACTGGGTTGCAGTGTCTTCGGTGCGGGATCGTGGATGGACACTGCTGAAGAGTCCTATTCTAGGACGAGACGGTCGTCTAGTAATTCCAGGTTGACAATGATGGTTTATCTATAATCAACTCATGAATTCAATCATTTAATTACTACAATCTCCACAAACCCCCATTCTGATAATCGCTAACTTACTGATCAGATTTTATTTTCATATATTCAATGGATCAGTAAGCATGAAGATTATATGTGTTCAAATTATACTGGTTTACATGTCTTATTTATTATTCTTTTTTGTAAACCTTCTTCGAACTGAATATAAAAAAGTTGTCAGTGAATAATATTAACCTACCAATAGTTTCTATCCGCTGTACATGGAGATATTCCGCCAGGATGTTCAGCCTTCGGAATGCTGGCAGAAAACCTTCATGTGATCATGCTTAGTGACATGTTTGAATTCGTCAAACATTCAGATGACTTATACGAACTACAACCTGAATGTTGCTCGTTTTTGTCATTTCACTGAAGTCAAACGGTTATCTAATAGATGATCTTTAAGTTCTAGCATTAAAAACAAGGAAACGAAATTGAACAATGAAACTGTACTCTCATCACATATTTACTTAATATGTTTACATTAACAGTTAACACTAGTTCAATAAACAAGTCGGATATTTAGAAAAATAATCAGTCAAAGAATAAAAACTTGCCAAATTCCCCACAACTCTCATATTTCAAGAGTTTTCTATTTATGTAAATAGTCTTAAGCACATACTACTCTTGTGTTTGTTAATGTTGATCAAAAGAGATCTAAAGCATATAGGTATTCAGTGTTTATATGTGTATCACAAGGAGGTTTTGTGGAGATTTTAGTAATATTATATAGTTAAGATCATGAGTCTGTTGAAGCTAGAACACCACGGAAAACCTAGAAGTACTGGACGGCCATTTCATTCTATTGTTGGACTCCTCAGCAGTGCATATGCACGGATCGTCCGTCCAGGGTTTCCAGGTTTTCCATAGTGGTCTAGCTTCAACTGACTCATGATCTTAACTATGTAAAATTACTAAAATCTCCACAAAAACCCCTTGTAATAATGATCATATGCTCACTAGTGACTAGCTCCATGAGGTAATTCCTGGAGTTCTGGTGATAAGTGGTGGCCAGTGGAGCAAATCCATATCAGGCAGAGACAGTTATCTACCTCAGTACAATGGAAGTTGGTCGCGCAATTTCGTGGATTGGTTGAGGTTAGACATTTACAGTAGTCTATCGGTTAAGTGCTCTGGAGTGAGACTGGTAGGTCCTGGGTTCGAATCTCACGAGTGCGGGTTCGTGGATGCGCACTGCTGAGGAGTCCCTTAATAGGACGAAACGGCCGTCCAGTGCTTCTATGTTTTCCATGGTGGTCTAGCTTCAACTGACTCGTAATCTTGACTATATAAAAGCTTATATGTGTAGTTGTTGGTAAACATATGATTTACGAGTATGACTTTATCATCCGATTTGTGGTACGAGTTTTATCAAGAGTGGAGATATATGTTACACTAGAAGAATATTATCTTGTTTTAGCGTTACATTTCAAATAAAGTATCCTCACGCACAGTTTACACTTATATTTATGGTAGTCACTGTATTTGATTTACTCAAACACTCCTAAGAACAAATATACTGTGCGTAGACCTGCATAGCTCAGTGGTAACATCACTGACTGTGAAACTGGGTGACACGGGATAGAACTCATCAGGGAACATCAGTTCCCTCAAGATCACAGGTACACCTTCCTGACGAGTGCTAAGTAGCACGAAACCTAGGTTCAGGGTTTCCTGTTGACTACTTCCAACCATCACCTTATCTAAACACAGTGCACGCAATGTCAAGTCATCTAGACTAGTGACCAGATCGCAACTTGGTCGATAGGATTCACTCTGTACTAAGGCTTACTATCTAGATGATAATCATTATATTACTCACAAATACGCAGTTTCCTTGTACTGATCCCTACTTAACGTCTCATCATTTTTGGAACACTTTCTGCTACCATTTAAGAAGTTGTATACTTTCAAATTGAAATAGTTATCCTTATTAGTAGTCAGTTGAAATGATCATTTTTAAAAAGTTGGAAATGAAGACAGTAATGTAATAAGTTTTCGAAAAACCTGATGCTATCAGGAGAGATGCTAACATTAGCTGTCAATTCAAAAGAAAAAGTATATTTAAGAGGTTGTTTTTTTAATCCAGTTGTTAAGTAGATGAACAATCAGGCATTACACCATATGTATGGTTGGGATCGTGTTGTTTATTGTTATGGTAACTAATTGAAATTGAATCGTTGATTGGCTCCAGTAGGAAGTATTTTTACAGAAAGTATTGCTTCTAAAAATGAACTTTATTCAACCGGATCCTTAACTCTTACAAACACGTTTATCTTTTTACTTACTTTACTTACGCCTGTTACTCCCAATGGAGCATAGGCCGCCGATCAGCATTCTCTAACCCACTCTGTCCTGGGCCTACCTTTCTAGTTCTATCCAATTGTTGTTCATTCTTCTGTCTGTCTCCACTTCTCGGCATTATGTGTTCTTTGGTCTTCCTCTTCTCATTTGGCCTTCAGGATTCCATGTGAGGACTTGTCTTGTGACGCGATTGGGTGATTTCCTC